TATATATATATAATACAAATTTGAGGAGAACATTTTTTTTTTGTAAAAAAATTTATTATTAATTATATGATTAAAATGTATTTTGATTTTGGAGTGAAATATGCCCTCACATGATCTTGAGATTGAGCTGATGGTAGCAGAGGACATCTGAAGGAAAAAAGTTCAAGGTCAAGGTATTTTTTTTTATCCATGTATCTCTATGATTGTGTAATATTTACTTGCATTGATAAACCTAATTTTCATATTTCAACCACAGTCTTGCAGCTAATAAACCAGAGCACAGTCAGATACTGTAAAAGTTTACTCATGGCAGTCATACGTGTGTATGTGAGTGGACAAGCTATACATATATTACACAAATAAAACATTAGCGCATGACATGTAGAGGGAGACGAGATGAGTGACAGGTGAGGCTGGTTGTCATGGTTACAGGTTTTGGCAGCACTGCAGTTTGATGCCCTTCTGGCCGTCTGTGGTCGGCGGGACGCTGATGTCCACCACGTTGTTTCCCGGCGACTCGTCGTGAGCCGATCGGTCAGCGATTTGCTTCTGTGATACGATGCGATAAATTTCTAATGATGCAGGAGAAATGAAGAGAGAGCAAGTGAGAGAATGAATGCAGACTAATGCCAATAAAATCTGACTGGATGAGCCTCATTCAAAGTCATTGTAAAACAGCTTGACATAAACTCTTGATTGTCATGGTTATTATAAACCCATTAATGTATATTTTTCCTATAATCTTAACTGTATTTTTTTTTTTTTGTCAGTTTTAATTTTAATTTTATTTTGCTTTTTTATATTATTATTGAGTTTTCAAAATTCAAATTTTATTGCCATTTTGTGCATTAACTGCACACATTTTCCTCTTAAATTCACATTAGGTCCATGCAAAAACATTTTACTTTTTATAAATATTTGTAAAAAAAAAAAGAAAAGCATATATATATATATATATATATTTTTTTTTTTTTTTTTTTTTGTTGTTGCTTTTTTTAATAAGTAATTGAGGGTAATACTGCAGAAAAAAAGTAAAAATCTTAAAACAGGATTCGGTTTCTTTATGAAATATGACATGCACTTGACAATTAACTTTTTTATTTCTTTTTAAATATATCTCTTCATACTATATATATTTTCAGTATTTTGGTTTTATTTCTTTTTTATATATATTTCTTTATATTATATATATTTTCAGTATTTTGGTTTTTATATCTTTCTTCATATTATATATACTCCAACTTAAACTTTAAGTAAACTAAGCTTTAGGTTTTTCAACTAATATTTTTGTTTTATTTATTTCAGCTTTAGTTCAGTTAACAAAAATGTTTTCAATATTTTTTGTTTTAATGATAATAACCCTGTTCTCAATGTATTACATTCATGTCTTAAGTGAGTGAATGTAAAATTTACATTTGTCCCTGTTTATCTTTTTAATAATTGTGAAACATATCAAAATGCACCGAATCACTCTGAAGCATGGCCAAATTTGAAACCTGATGCTGCGTTGCATCATCTAGTAAAGAATGGTTATGGAATCGCATGATTTTAAGTGTGAATATTTACACCCCTGTCTAAAATCCCCATAATTCCTGGCAGGCAATCGCAGTTTACCAGATGGCAGATGCTGCACTTTTAAAGTTACATAAGATGCCACAGTAGCTGTCATGAGAATCATGTTATTTGGTTTATTGCTACTGTGAGGAAGCGTTTGACTGGAATGATGCTTCATATGGGTCTGCACCTGTTAGGATGTTCTTGAAGGCCTCCTCCACGTTAGTCGAGTCCAGAGCGGACGTCTCGATGAATGACAGGTTATTTTTCTCTGGAAGCAAGCAGAAGGTGTTTAATATCACCTGCTCTTAAAATATCCACTGACGACATAAAGATTCTCATAGAATGAATCGTGTTCACAAAACATGAGCAGAGTGAATTTCTGTGCAAATCTATTTGCATGCAGCAATTTTAATATTTTTGGAAAGAAGTCCCTTCTGCTCACCAAGGCTGCATTTATTACTACAAGCGAAATATTATTAAAATTTAAAACAGCTGAATTCAGAGATGAACAGAAAGTTCAAAAGAACACCACTTATTTGAAATAGAATCTTTTGTTACAATATAAATGTCATCAATTTAATGCATCCTTGCTGAACACAAGTATTAATTTCTCCAATTTTTGAACAGTGTTTATCAGAATGGTTTAATGAAGATGTTTCGTTCTGTTCGAGGTAAATCTAATTTAGGTTCTGATTAATATAATAACCAATGTAGTTCAAGTTCATTTCTTATCCTAAATAAGAAAATTAGAATTATGAATCATTGTCGGAGCAAATATATACACTCTTTTTAAAGGAATAGTTAGATTTGTAGAAATGTAGCATTGTATCACTTGCTCAGCAATGGATGTTCTGCAGTGAATGGGTGCCGTCAGAATGAGAGTCCAAACAGCTGATAAAAACATCACAATAATCCACAAGTAATCCACACCACTCCAGTCCACCAGTTAATGTCTTGTGAAGCCAAAAGAAACAAATCCATAATTAAGGCGTTTTTAGCTTTAAACCGTATAGTCCATAATCCATAACTCTTCCTCCTGTGAAAAAGTGCATCTCCTGTTGTCTCTCACATCAAAATCCAGCCACATGTTTGTTTAGAGCTGTTTTGGCTTGTAAACGGTGCTTGATCTGTGCAGATTTCTCTCCTGATTCAGACCAGACCACTTTTCACTGGAGGAAGCGTTATTATAGATTATAGATTTTAGCCTGAAGCAATTGTTTGAAGTTAAAAACATCTTAATAATGGATTTGTTTCTTATAAACACACAGCTCTTGTCTTCTCCAGATGTTAACTGATGGACTGGAGTGGTGTGGATACTTGTGGATTATTGTGATGTTTTTATCAGCTGTTTGGACTCTCATCCTGACAGCACCCATTCACTGCAGAGGATCCAATGCTGAGCAAGTATGCTACATTTCTCCAAATCTGATGAAGAAACAAACTCATGCTAATCTTAGATGGCCTGAGGGTCAGTACATTTTCAGCACATTTTCATATTTGGTTGAGCTATTCCTTTAACAATCTAAAATACTTCTCCTGCATAATGCCTAGAAGGATCAGACAAACAAAAGGAGCAGCAGTGTTCCAGAGGATTGATGTGTTGTGTCTCTAGGGTCGGCTGTACCTGCGAAAGCACGCGCCTCGTCGGTGGGAACGGCTCTCAGGTGGCGCAGGTCGCTCTTGTTCCCCACCAGCATGATGACGATGTTGTTGTCGGCGTGATCTCGCAGCTCCTTCAGCCAGCGCTCCACGTTCTCATAGGTCAGATGTTTGGCGATGTCGTACACCAGCAGCGCGCCGACCGCGCCACGATAATACCTGCACACGTCAGAAAACCATAAACACTGAGCCAAAAAACCAAGCATCACTATTACTACTGCTCATAGTTTTACTTTTAGTTCAGTTTTAGTTTTTGTTTCATTGAGTAAATAAATTTTATTTTACTTTATTTTTTATTTAATTTTAGCAATTTTGCCTGTAATATTCATGTAATATTTGTATTTTAAAGGTGACACATTATGCCCCTTTTTAAAATATGTAATATAAGTCTCAGGTGTCCCCAGAATGGGGCGGTAATATTATAATGAGATCCCTTTACCACGTCACTAGGGGAGCGAAATCAGACGCGCTCGTTTTCTCAGATGCTTGCAGAAAAAGTCTTACCAAAACAAAGTGACTGGGTTAATCTTTTTCACGTTTGCTTGGTTGGTAGATGCACCGGGGACCTGATTATAGCACTTAAAACCTGGAAAAGTCCGATTTTCATGATATGTCACCTTTAACAAATTAACAAAAATGTTTTTAAGTTTTAGTTTACAATAATAACCCACTTTCACCATTCCTATTGCTCATAGTTTTAGCTGTAGTTCAGTTTTACTTATTTTATTTTGTTAGTAAATAAATGTTATTTTTTATTTTATTTAATTTGATCAATGTTGCCATGGCAACTTATTTTAGTTAGTTGCCTGGGCAACATTGCTTAATTTTTTAGTTAGTAAATACAATTTTTTTAAATTTAGTTAATCATTTTAGTTTACTTTATTTCGTTTAGTTTTAGTTTTTCATCTAATATTGATATTTTAACAAATTAACAAAAATTACGATTGCTATATATACTATTGATATAGTATTGCTATTGCTATAGAGGTTTGATCACATTGCCAACACTAATAAAAAATACAATGGCTCAAAAATGACAATAAAATGATACAAAATATAAAAATAAAACAGTTTAATGGCTGAGGTGAAGGATGCAAATGTTATTTTTGGCACAGGGGAACCAAAACCACATCTGTTCACTTATCAACAGCCACAAATGCAAATAAGTTTATATTGTGGCATATTTGTTCTGTGGCAACTTGTTTCTTGCATGTTTTCTTGCATAAGAATTAATAACAAAAAGTACTGTTGGAACATGCATCATGGTAGAACCAGGGTTATTATAGTTAACTAAAACTAAAATCATTAAAAATATATATATCATTCCTTAAAATAAACTTTAAGTGAAAAACTTGCATTTATTTTATTTAAGCAACATTTTTCATTTTCATTTAGTTTAACTTGGTGTACTGAAAAAAAAACAAAAATAAATAATTAAAAAATATTAATAAAAATGACAAAAACACAACAAAATTTCAAAATGAAAAAAGAAAATGTAAAAATATTTTGTAAAAATTCTATTTCAAAATATTAATAAAAACTATAACAGTATATCAATGATACTAAAATAATACTGGGTAGAACTGCGGTATTATTTGAAGTACTGTGTAAATGGTATACAGTGTGGCTGTATTTCTTATCTAAAGCATGACTGTACTCACGCAGAGGTGATGGCCCTGTACCGCTCCTGCCCTGCCGTATCCCAGATCTGCGCTTTGATCGTCTTGCCGTCCACCTGGATGCTCCTGGTGGCGAACTCCACTCCTATCGTGCTCTTGCTCTCTAAGTTAAATTCGTTCCGTGTGAAGCGCGACAGCAGGTTACTCTTCCCGACGCCCGAATCTCCGATCAGAACCACTGAGAGCAGAAGCAGACAAACAGACGGTCTGAGATCACAATATAATGACAAAATATTAACATACACTAGCATTCAGCTTGGGGTCAGAAATTAATACTCAATTGTAAAGACATTTATAATGTTACAAAAAAATTATATTTCAAATAAATGCTGTTCTTTTGAACTATCTCTTCATCAAATTTCTACATTCTAAAAAAAAAATAAAAAATGTATCACAGTTTCCACAAAAATATGAAGCAGCACAACTGTTTCCATTAGAATGAAGACTGGAGTGCACAACTGTTTCCATTAGAATGATTTCTGAAGACTGGAGTAATGATGCTGAAAATTCAGCTTTGATCATCACAGCAATAAACTGCATTTTAACCACATATTCACATAGAAAACAGCTATTTTAAATTGGAATAATATTTCACAATTTTACTGTAATTGTGATCAAATAAATGCAGTCTTTGGTGAGCAGAAGAGACTTCTTTCAAAAATAATAAAGTCAACCCCAAACTTTTGAACAGTAAAGCACATAAACATATAGAAACAGCAAATATTATTTTAATCAATCTAATAATTGACTTAAAAACAGCTAGCTTACAAAATAATAAAAAATTTAAACCATTAAGCCAGCAAAATCCTGGTGGATCTTTTTAAGCTTCACTGAGACTGAGACAAAGCTAAAATATGAAAGGAAAACAGGTAGCCTAAATAATCCCACTGTCATAATAAAAAAAACAGAGAGAATGTAGACAATAAATTTGTTAATTTTTTTCTGTAGCCTAGAAAAATGATATTAAGCCCTATAATAATGGGTGTTCACATTAGAGCCCGACCGATATATCGTTTAGCCGATATTATCGGCCGATATGAGCCTGTCGCCGATATATCATATCGGCGGCTAATATGCCGCCGATATGAACATTTTTTTTACAGAACATATAACGCATATAAAATGCTTGAAATGGTGTAATTACTTAGTTTGTCCAGCAGAGCGCGCTCCATTGTTTGCTACTGGCGACCTGGATGAAACGCTTTAAAGCTTAGTCTATGGAAAACCATTGAATTTTTGAACGGCCATATCCCTGTAACGGCGTGGCGGATCTGCACCAAATTCGAGGGATCCCTTCAGCTCGAGGAACCCTCTCGAACGCGAGAGGCCCTCTTTCGAATGAGACCATCCCCGCGTCGATAGCCCCCGGGGTTCGGGAGTTACGGGTGGTTAAATTCGCGGTCCGGC